CGCGCCCGGCGTGCCTTAGCCAGAGAACCCAAGGCTCTCCCGCGCCTGGCGCAATATTCAATTGCGCCCAGCGCAAGCTCAGGCAGAGACTCAAGGGAGTCTCACACGCCCGGCGTAGCCTAACCCGCACCCAGCGTGGGGAAGGCAGAGACCTAACAGGGTCTCGCGCCCGATGCAATTCGAATTGCGCCCAGCGCCCTTTTGGCAGAGACTTCCAAGGAGCCTCCGCGCTCAGCGAGGTGAAACATGCGCCCAGCGCGGCACCAGAAAAATGTGTCACCATTGTCATCGCGCCCGACGCGAAGAACAACGCCCGACGCAAACACAACAGCAGCTTCCTCAAGTTCGAAGATTTCATCCAAAACTTGCAAAATTTCACTTATCGAACACATGCAAGTCAACCACAATACCACATTTTCATCATAGAGTCCAAAAATACCATCTTTTCACCCATGCATGCAACAATCCAGAAAAACCCAAATTTCTCAAGAAAACCCAAAAACCCCCAAGTCCATTTTTTTTTTCCAGCAATCAAGATCAAGGATCAGAAATTGTCAACCAGCAAATTTGAGCCTCTAGAGCTCGATTTCAGCCACAAACACATCAAAACTAACTTTCCTTACCTCGGTTTGAAGGTCCGAGCTTCGGGAAGGAGATCTTGCTGTTAAGTTTTGCCTTTGAAGCTTCCCATGTGTATCATCCCATATTAGAGAGCTCTTCCCTTTTAATGCATTTGCAGTTGTTACAATTACCATGGGCAACCCCTTACACTCCTTGGCAATTTTAGTTGCTAATGTTTCAAACGTAGAATTTCCATCACCTATTTTAGCCATGTTCTTAAACATCATCTCTGCCTCCTTTTCTGTTAATGCTTGTACACAAAATGTCTGAATTCCTTTCTCGCCCGTCTGGCTTATCAGAAGTGGTTCACTGTCGGAAATCATCAAAACTTTACATCCTTTGTAACTAGTATGAGAATTGTTCTCTAATGGAATTCCCACCATGTTGAAGTCCAGTTTCACCCTCATGTTATCTAGGATTACAAGGGTTTTCTCCTTTGGATTCTTTAATCTCTCCCGTAACCGAGCTGCTCTTCCACTCTCAGATTCCTCTTCCAATTTCATCCCCAACCTGTCAGCAATTTGTCCTTGAATACTTCGTATGTCGGGATGACTTATGTTCACCATAATCACCACATCGAACCCTTTTACTCTCTTGGCAACCTCTTTGATTAAACTAGTCTTGCCCACACCACTCCACCCATAAACTCCAATCACTCCAAAATTCGAGTCTTCCAATGCTGCCTTAATATCATCCATAGTTTCTTTTCTTGATTCAAATTCTTCATACCTAATGTTGTCAAAATCAGCATCAAAGGATGGTGGGCCCAACCAATAGGAAAAATTAACATGCTTCGCGCTCTGCAGTAGTTCATTAACCTTCTTTGTAATATCAATAACTGTTACGCTTAGATTATACCTTATTGCCGGTTTAGGAAGGTAACCATCGGAAAACACGGCATATGCACAATCTTCATCTTCACAGAAATTTTCATACTCGGAAATCACCCTTTTTACCTTCTTTAGCCATTCAATGACATTATCGTCGATAGCTTTCGCATGTCGCTCTTCCTCTCTAACTTTATTTTGCACGATTTTCTCCTCTTTCCGCAACTTCTTAACATTTTTGTCTAGTTCTCGAACTCTGCTTTCGTAAGACCGAAGCTGTTTCAGTAGTAGCTTTAGATATGGCCAAGCCTTACCAAGCAATTTGAGAATATCTTCATACTTCATTTTTACTTTTCTCCCGCTATCAACTGCATCCTTGCCTGAATAAAGAATAACTTGTTGAGGAAGGAAAGTAGAGAAGGGCGAGGAACACAGAGTATTATTACTTCATGTAGTTATTATAAGGTTTTCTTAATGGAATTATATGTATAAATATAAGTAATTATGTTAATTAATTATATAAAATTTATAAAACAAAATTTATGATTTATTAATTTTATTTTTTTTATTTGTCATTAAATTTTTATGTGACTTCATATCAAAATTTATATACAAATATTAATAAAATTAATAAATAATAATTAGATAACTTAAGAAATAAAAAAGAGGACATTTATTTAATATTTTAACATGTAAAATCTAGATATTATAATAATTGCATTTCTTGAGAGAAACATTAATTATGATAAGTCAAATATATTAAATTATATGTTTTAATATAAAAATGTTAGAGTTCTTTGTAATTTCAATATACTAGTGTAATACTCTTATCAATTATAAGAAGATAACACAATGTTCATTTAAATTATTTTTAAGAGATTAAAATTAAATTTGAGAAATTTTAAAAAGACAAAAATATATTTTATCCTTAATTTTGTATTAACTACGCATTGAATTCAAATTCTATAAAAAAAATGTATAATTTAATATATAATGTCTTTAAAACTTTATAATTGGCCAACAAGTAATAAAACAAAAACATAAACAACGGGTAATGGAGGATATAGACGGAGAAAAAAACTATTTTTTTATTATCAGAACATAGAAAGTGTACATCAACTGTTTACGCAAAAAATTTAAATTAATCCAAATTGATCAATAATCAATCTGATTTATATCGAAAAATCTGATTTATTTTGAAAAAAAAATCTGAACTGATTCATTTTAATTATAAAATTAGTTTAGTTATCCGATTCATTTTTACAAAGTGAATTAGTTCGATTCGATTTAATTTTTTAAAAAATCGATCTATTTATGAGTAAAAAATAAATAGATAATTGCACTATACCGAATCCAATTTTAAAAAATTAATCTATATTTTATAAAAATCAAACCGATCTACTTTAAAAAAAATAAATCAATTAACTGATACATTTTTATAAAATGGTTCCGTTTGGTTCAATTTGAATTTTTCTAAAAACTAACCAATTAACACGCCTATGCATTAAAGTAACGTGAACTAAGATATCTTTACTTCACTTGACAAAACAGAACTGCCATTTAAAATTGAGTCAATTATAAGGTTATTTAATCATTACGTAAATTTTTTTTGCAGTTATGATACTGACTTATTCTTCTTTGGAAATCAATCATATAAATTTAGCGTTGTTTTAATATATATATATATATATATATATATATATATATATAATATATATATATATATATATATATTTATTTAAATACATTTTTTTATGTTTTATATGATAAACTAGTTTTGATTTTCATATCCTTTAATTTTTTTTATCATTAAAAAATTTTAAACATTATTTTTTATCCTATAAAATGAGGAAAAAATTGATTTTTATCCTTACAAGGTATCTATTTTTATTTTCATATTTCCAAAATTCAAAATCATTATTCTTGTCTTTAACAATTATTTTAAGATATATAAATATTATATTTTAATAATCTATAAATTTTTTAAAAGGAATACGTTGATAAAGTATCATAGATAATTATGAACATAATGTGTAAGATCACATCACTTTCTAATATGTAGTTAAAAAAATCACATAATAAAAACAAAATTATTGTCTCAAATTTTAAAGGATAAAAAAAAAGAAAAATTTGTTATAAGAACTGAAATCAAAACTTGTTGATTTTATAAAAATTAAAAACATATTTGAATCATATTCTTTTTTCATGAACTTTCAAATTTATGAATTCAAAATATAAATCTCCGATTTTTTTTTTCTAGACCACTAGTGTTTTCCATTATTCTAATCTTATTCAAGTTAAATAAAATTATTATATATAACAATATTCTCTTTTTAAGTATTTAATGTATATAGGACTCGAGATCACATTAATTAAACTGGAGTAACTTTGGCTAGTTGATCATGTTGTTTAATAGTATCTAAAAAATTTTAATATCAATGAAGTTTAAGTAAAGGAAAGGAGCTTAAAATTCTAAGCAGCAAAGGCTTCAGGTTAAAGATATACTAAGCATATACTGTGTCTATTATAGAGAATCAGATGAACAAAGATTACTAGCACAGCAACAACCTCAACTTAGAATGAGAAGGATGAAGTTGTTATTAGTGCTTACCTGACCACCATGGAGGCAACAATCATAAACAATATGCAGCTCTGAAGAATGCAAAAGAAAAGCTTTAAAGAAGACGGTGAAAAGGAAAAAGGCAGCAGAATCCTTCCTCCAATCACTTCAAAGCATTGAGATCACTTTGAAAATGAAGTTGAAAAAACACATATTGACATATTTGAGATTTGTAGCACAAATCCGGTGATAGAGGAATCGGCATTTAATCATGGTTTACTTTTAAGATGATAAATTAACCAAATACAGGCATTTATTTAATTCACAAAATAATTGTCTCTGTTGATAGTCACATGGTAGTGTGGTACACCCTGGCAGAAGTCACCAAATGCGTTGAATTATACTTTTTTTAATCATTCTCGGTCCTACATTTTTGCTTATCTCATTGGAATTAGAAAACATTAAATGTAGCTAGCTGTGAAAATTATTTTTGGCGTATAATTAATAAAAACATGTTGCCCTTGTTAGAATAGTGGATTAAGCCTAACTCAACCCTACAAAACCGGCTTTTAAGGTGAGGGTTGCTTTCCACTTATATACTATTCAATTGCCTAATCTCTAGTCGATGTGGGACTTGGGTTTTTCCCAATACACCCCCTCACGTCCAGCACTATTGAGCTTGGTACGTGGATAAATGGTGGGTGACCCTTTTTAATGATCTAGGATTGGCGGGACTTGGGTTTTTTCCCA